TACTTTAACATAGGCCTGCACCATCATGAATAAGCCTTCTGTCAATGGATTGAGCCAGGGGGAATATTACCATAAGACCCGGATAAGAAGGCAAAATGACTGAGATGATTGTTTAAAGGTCGACTCCTACATTTAAAAAATGAGCACAACGTCAGCCTTCTTCAATAATCAATGGCAGTAGCCCTATATCATTAATTGAAATTATGAAAAACAGCTGTAGGCCTAAATATCACAGAGTGGGCCTTTAATAACTAAATGAGGGGCCTAAAGGCTTTCAGTCTCCTGCTTTCTAAATGTCCTATGTGACCAGGCTACATGGTGAGGACCAGGGGGCATTTCAGCTGCAGGTGGGAAACAGAAATGACAGACTGCGACCTTAATGCGTTAATGACCTGAGAATGCCATTAAGTTGGCAGAGTAAGATGAGTACATGCAGGTATGAGAGAACAGGACATCAGAATTGCTCAGTGCACTGTGACAGCACCATATCTATCTCTCATTGCAACGCAGCCTCAGCATGGTAATATGAATGTATCACTTCATGGGAGGTTGGCTATTTCATAAATGAAGTTGTCTCTAGCGTTGTACACCTCTGGCCCGTTGGCTGGCTGCTTCCTTGAGTCATTAGTCTTTAAGGTTTCCATCATGTTAGGTCCAGCTGACACACCACTCACTCACACACACACTATAGGTGTGATGAGTGTGATAGAAGGAGTCAGGCGCAGGAGGGTAAATCACAGAATATAGAGTTTATTCCGTTTACACAATTGCGCTGGATAGCGACACACGAAAACAGGCACAGGGGAAACTATCTACCCAGGCAATACACGGTACGGGATACTCCAACAATATACAGGCACAGGGGAAATATCTACCCCGGCAATACAAATTGCAAGTAGCTCCACCGAGCTACACTACTCTCACAATAAACAATCACCCACAAGGACAAGGGGGGCAGAGGGAACACTTATACACCGACTAATGAGGGGATAAGAACCAGGTGTGTGTAATTGACAAGACAAGACAAATGGAATGATGATATATGGAGCGGCAGTGGCTAGAAAGCCGGTGACGACGAACGCCGAAGCCTGCCAGAACAAGTAGGGGAGGCAGCTTTGGCGGAAGTCGTGACAATAGGCCTTTAGACCATTGCTATTATTTGCACAATGAGCAATTGTTGTCTCTCAAATACATTGTTGTAGTTGTTGGTTAGCTAGCTACTGATTTTGTTGCCATATTAGCATTGACATGAAATTTGTCAAAAACACCTCAAAACAAGAAATGGTATCAAGAACAAAAGGAAACAAGCTGAAACGAGCCACTTACAATTCCCCACATGGCAGTTTCTTGTCATTCTTGCTAGCAATCTGGCCATCCAGAATCACAACAACACGCTGACTTCTGCGCCATGGAAGCGTGCACATCATTTTTGTGACGTTATCAGCTAACCCATCTATATCAAGCCTTTTTTATGTACTCAGAGCTCTATTATTAGCTTGTTTTAACTACAGTAATCCCTCGTTTATCGCGGGGGTTACGTTCCGAAAATGACCCGCGATAAGTGAAATCCGCGAAATAGAAAACTTTTTTTTTTTTACAATTAGCAACTATTACATGTATACAAATACAGTGACTCACGTGTAGGCCGTTTCGTCGACATTATGGGTTTAGAAGATGTTCGAAATTACAAGATAATTTGGCCAACTTAATGTAAATTTGCCAAGCTGTTTTATGTACGTACACATAACTGCACGAGACGACAAAATGATAGCACAATTCGTAGCATGTTTTGATACAAGAAGCGGGAGTGAGTTTTTAGCGAATCAGAATGCAGAGCACAATGCACCAAAAAAAAAAAAAAAATGCATTATGAAAATCCGCGAAATAGCGAATCCGCGATAAGTGAACCGCGAAGTGGCGAGGGATCACTGTACTCCTATAAAAATGGGAGTCTGTCAGGTACTCCACAGGAAGGTTTGATTTCACTATTACTAAAACAAGACCCAGATGGTAAATATAAAGATCCAGTCCATCTAAAAAACTGGAGGCCTCTTACAATTCAATGCATAGCACTCAGAATTAAAAAGGTTTTACCAGGTATTGTTCATCCTGATCAGACAGGTTTTTTACACGGACGATACATTGGAGATAATATACGACAACTAGTTGAAATAATTGAACATGAAACATCTAAGAAGCCAGGCCTGGTATTCATAGCAGATTTTGAAAAGGCCTTTGATAAAGACTGGAATTAATTAATAAATGCCTGGATTCAAAAAAATTCAGTGAGTCTCTTATTCAATGGGTAAAAGTAATGTATAGTAACCCCAGGTGTAAATTAGTAAATAATGGCTACTTCTCAGAAAGTTTTGAACTGTCAAGAGGAGTTAAACAAGGGTGTCCACTGTCACCATATCTATTCGTTATGGCCATTGAAATGCTAGCTATTAAAATCAGATCAAATAATAACATTAGAGGATTAGTAATCCAAGGCTTAAAAACAAAGGTGTCGTATGCCGATGACTCAAGTTTTATATTAAGTCGGCAAGCTAGATCCCTGCAATGTCTCATTGAAGATCTAGATTACTTTTCTGGCCTCTCTGGACTAAAACCCATATTACGTATTGGATCTTTAAAAGTCAACTTTTACATTACCCTGCAGTTTATCTATAAAATGTGCTGACGGTGAAGTAGACATACTGGTGTTCATATCACAAAATATATAAATGAGCTCTCCACAATGAATTTCAATAGAAAATGTGTACAAATAGACAAGATCACCATAAAGAGGTAAATAACTGTTTATTTATGGAAAAATTACACCGATTAACTTGATATTAATCTCAGTTTACTAATTTATGGCGCTGCCTACTCCTGATGACTTGTTTTTCAAATCATATGAGCTAAACCAAACAAGATAATGCGTGCCTATCTATATAATGAATATGAACTGGGTGGCCTGTTATTATTTAAATATTAAAGCACTAAACCTCTGTGGTCCTCTGTAGCTCAGCTGGTAGAGCACGGCGTTTGTAACGCCAAGGTAGTGGGTTCGATCCCCGGGACCACCCATACACAAAAAAAAAAAAAAAGTGTATGCACGCATGACTGTAAGTCGCTTTGGATAAAAGCGTCTGCTAAATGGCATATTATATTATATTATATTATCACTAAAAGCTTCACTTGTGCAAAAGTTTTACTTAAACACAAACTGGTTCTCAAGTAGATTACTAAGAAAGGCCCATCCATTGTTTAAAAATAGCATTTTTGCCTTTGTGCAGATTGCAATTTCAAATTGGTTGTTAAATTAACATGAAACCTGGTTCAAAGTATCTCTCTTTTTCAAACAGGTAATACAGAGCTGGTTACAATTTAACTTTCATCCCCCAGAAAATATATAAATAATATTACAACAGATATTATGTTTGAACTCTAATGTACTGATTGATAAAATACTGTTTTTAGGGAAAATATGTTTGAGAAGGGTATTTTGTTTTTAAATGATATTGTAAATTGGAATGGTAGAGTTATGTCTTACATGGCGCTATCGTAAATTGTCTCGCCTACTCCCGCTCCGGCGCTCGACGTCGCCGGTCTACTAACCACCGGTCCTGTGTGGGGGATTTTATCTGTTAGAAGGAAAGAGAGACTGCAGATTCTTCAAACAACAACTTTATTATAAGATGAGCAAAAATGGAGCAGATAACCATGCACTTCAACAGTGCATAGTTAAGGCCCAACAAATCATAGTTGGGTCTCGGCTTTTATAGAAAAAGTACAACCTCTTTAGAAGATGTGTGGAAACAGGGGCGGAACATAGTGTAAAAGACGATTGGTTTGTCTGTGCAGATTAAGATAGCCAGAGGTTGATAGCATGAGGGCTCATCCGTATAACTGTATTTTGTCACAGTTCACACTATAATGTGCTCCTTCCTGCAAGGTTCCACACAGCTGACTTCTTGCAGATCGTAAACCCACGGGATGTCTCACATGCTGCGGTCGTACCTAAACAGATCTTAGCTATACGCCTAGTCTTATGACTAAGTCACACAAAGACAAGTTCGTATCAGGTTAGAAAAAACACTAGCATATAACAAGAGACTATTCTTTAACCAGTAAAACAGGGGATAGCATGACTAATTATGTAATTTTCCACGATACCTGGCAACCCACATTACGCACACCTGGCAACCATCATTGCGCACACCTGCTCCCCATCGTTACGCACACCTGGACTTCATCATCACCCTGATTACTCTCCCTTTATTTAGCCCTCAGTAACCTCAGTCTTCAGGCAGTATTGGTTTTGTTTACATTCATTACGCTACTCCTGTTTTGATTATCTTCATGTTTCTTATTTTTAAACTCACCTTCTGCACCTGCTTCCTGACTCCCTGCATATATGTTACAGAATACTGCCTCCCAAGATATGGAAGCAGCAAAAGTTAAGGATATCTCCCAGATGGTCGACGAAGAGGAACACCTACTCTGTCAACACCATGACCAGCTGGCTCAACTGGGTACGGTAATGGATAAGGTCCTCCGCGTTCTCCATCACCTCGACAACACCCGAGAGGATTCATCTCCAACTAGTGGAGGATCCTCTACCACGAGTAGTCCCAGCGAGCCAGTCCCCCAGCCCATCCAGCAGTCCGCCCAGGTCAGCCGGACAAATATGACGGGACTCCATCGAAATACTGTGGCTTCGTACTCCAGTGCTCTCTCTATTTCACCCATCAAACAGGAGCCCCTACCACCAAGAGGTCCAAGGTTACCACGGTCATTTCCCTGCTGACCGGATGTGCGGTGAGCGACTACTCCAACTCCAGCAGGGTGCCCAGACTGCTGCGGAGTACGCCCTCACCTTCCAGACAAACTTTCGTTTTACATTGTTGTTTTCCTTTGTTCTTGTCTTTATTTCTTTTTATTGTTCTTTGGCAAATCGGGTGGGTAGTTGTTTGGTTAGGTTGGACGGGGATGGTGGCTTGGAGGGGGTGGAGATGGGGGGGACTGTGGGGGGTTTTGGATGGTTGGGGGCGGCGGGTGGCCTGGTGATTGGAAGCATTGGGCCAGTGGCCGAGAGGTTGCTGGTTCGGGTCCTCGAGTCGACTGGGTGAGGGATCTGTCGATGTGCCTTTGAGCAGGGTGCTTGACCCTGGTTGCTCCTGTGGGTCGCTCTGGATGAGAGATTCTGCTAAATGATTAAAATGCAATGTAAATGTTGAGCGGCTTCATTGCAGGTGGATTGTATGATTTAAAATAACATAGAAAAGCAATGGAAATGGAATTTACACCTGCCCTGCATTGCATTATCCATTTGATAGTTCCTCACAGTTGTGGAGGAGGTGTTGGATTGAAGACAAATCTCAGAAGTTGTACAGTAGCCTTAATGCCCCCAGACTTTTAAAAGGATCTCTGTGTCTAGATCTTGTTGACATGAGAACATCAACCCACCCACTGTCTTTACTTTGCTTCTCTGAACTTTACTTTACCTGTAGTTACTGTCTCCTAATTAACCTTCCTCTCTCTGTTGCAGGTACGGTGACATGGTGCCCAAGACCATCGTGGGGAAGATATTTGGATCCATCTGTTCTCTGAGCGGGGTGCTGGTCATCGCCCTGCCCGTCCCCGTCATTGTGTCCAACTTCAGCCGCATCTACCACCAGAGCCAGCGGACAGAAAAACGACGAGCCCAAAAGGTACGCTAGACACACTGCCTGTCTGCCTGTGTTTGTGTGTGTCCTTTTCTGTCTCCCTCCCCGTCTCCCCTCCCTCCCTTCCTGTAGGGTGGGGCACAATTGGCCCAGCATCGTCCGGGTTTGGCCGATGTAGGCCATCATTGTAAACAATAATTTGTTCTTAACTGACTTGCCTAGTTAAATAAAGGTTTTAAAAAATCCCCCTATCTCCCTCCTTTTCTGTCTGTCAATCTGCGTCTGTAGCTGTCATTTTTCTGTCTGTTAGTCCGTCTGTGTCTGAGAGCAAACCAACACAGAGAGAAACAAACTTCTTGAGGCTTACAGAGGTGTGTTACCTTTGTTCAAACAGAAAACGCAAATCGCCACAATCCGTGCATCGAAGAGCCGGGGCACTAATGCGTACATGCACTACAATGGTCATTTCCTTACCCACAACTCTCTGGAAGAGGTACTGTAACAGGACTGGCCGATCGGCCAGTCACTCTGCTCAGGGTCATGCCATGTTGTGACCAGTGGGGTTGCTTATGGCGTAACACCACGGGGGACTGCTAATGACGTGACACCAGGGGCTGCTGCTAATGCTGCTCTCATTCCAGTGCTTCAATATAGTTGTCTTTGTCATATACTCTCTTAACAGCACCACTCACACCTGCCTCTCCGCTGCAGATTTGACATGCTCTCGCTCACATTGACTCATTGTAACCAAGCTGTGCAACCTATGATCATATCTGTCCAATAGGTTGTAGGGTGAAGTTGCCTCTAGAGGCTAATCTTCGGTCAGTTTTAAAACATTTCCCCACCAATGGTTAAAGGGGCAATCATCAGTAGCAACAATAACAAAGCGTTTTCCCCACAAAAAGCTGAGGGATGGGGCTGGATAAATGTAACCACTCTCAAATTCATAAACATAGCTATGATATCAAAATTATAGTTTTAACCATGTTTTGAGGCTATATAGTGTTTTAACCATGGTTTGAGGCTATATAGGGTTTGTTTACAAACATTGGAGTGAAACCAGCTTATATTTTGGGATCTGATGGGGTACGACATTTGACCTAAGCTCATAAGGCATTTATAAGTTATATTCTTCAAGAATCAATGGGAAGAGATCATTAATATCTAAGTCCAAAAATTGATGTAGAAACTGCTGATTGCCCTTTTAAGGTTCTGTGCAGTACCTAGGGGAAACTTAATCCTGGAGCGTCCAACAGGGTTTGGAGGGGTAGGATGGAAGGAATCACATAGGTTTTGCAGCCAAACACCTGGCTGCTTGTCATTCAGCCTACACCTCCTCTGAACTCTGTTGTTTAATTGGTGTATTATGTATGTGTGTACTGGTAACCCATCGGTTACTGGCTGTAATGACATCATTTCAACCAGTTTTGCCCGCTGGTAATCCAACATCTGGTTGATGGCTTTGCTGCTGCAGACTAACCTGTCCACCATGATGTCATCTAAGAACCATTGCAGGCTGGGCTTCTTCATTTCAGCAGTGTGTGTTTTTTTACAGCTGGCCCATGCCTAACAATTCTCTGCTCAGAGCTCTTCCCTCAGTAATGTTCTGTTTTAATTCCTATTCTCTTTCTGCCCTAAAGGCGTCCAAGGAAGCAGGTCAGATCCTTGTGGGCAAACCCAACATTCCCTTCGAGAGCCATCACCACCACCTGCTGCACTGCCTGGAGAAGACCACAGTAAGAACACCTTCACCTCAGACTTACTCACCTCTAGCTGACCACAAACCAAGAAAACAGAATGCTCTGAGACTGCCAGTGAGGCTAACCTAACCAAGGCCCACAAGCACTATGTCTCACCTGCGTGTGACAGTGGGAAAAACACCTTTACCTCAAGACACATTTACTTCAAGCTAAGCTAACTCAAGCTAGTCTATTCCTAACAGGTATGTGTAGACTGGCCACAAGTAGAGAAAGCAATGCACTCTGAGAATGCCAGCTAGCTAATTTACCTCAAGCTAACTTACCCAACCAAGACCTTGGTGTAGTGTCTTACTCACTAAAACACAAGTTCTTAAAATGATTACTTTTCTACTATTATGGCCATTGCAATACCAATGTTGTAGGTTCAATTCCAACAGGGATCATATACAAAAAAAAAATACACTACTGTTCAAAAGTTTGGGGTCACTTAGAAATGTCCTTGTTTTCGATTTCCATTAGAATAACATCAAATTGATCAGAAATACAGTGTAGACATTCTTAATGTTGTAAATGGCTATTGTAGCTGGTAAAGGCTGATCTATAATGGAATATCTACCTAGGCGTACAAAGGCCCATTATCAGTCCTGTGTTCCAATGGCACTTTGTGTTTGCTAATCCAAGTTTATAATTTTAAAAGGCTAATTGATCATTAGAAAATCCTTTTGCAATTATGTTAGCACAGCTGAAAACTGTTGTGCTGATTAAAGAAGCAATAAAGGCCTTCTTGAGACTAGTTGAGTATCTGGAGCATCAGCAATAATAATAATAATAATAAAAATAATAATACGCCATTTAGCAGACGCTTTTATCCAAAGCGATTTACAGTCATGCGTGCATACATTATTATTTTTTTGTGTATGGATGGTCCCGGGAATCGAACCCACTACCTTGGCGTTACAAGCGCCGTGCTCTACCAGCTGAGCTACAGAGGAGCAATTGTGGGTTCGATTACAGGCTCAAAATGGCCATTAACAAAGAACTTTCTTCTGAAACTCGTCAGTCTATTCTTGTTCTGAGAAATTAAGGCAATTCCATGCGAGAAATTGCAAAGAAACTGAAGATCTCAATGTCAACAGTGAAGAGGCGACTCCGGGATGCTGACCTTCTAGGCAGAGTTGCAAAGAAAAAGCCATATCTCAGACTGCCCATCTTAATCTTTTCTTTTTATTGGCCAGTCTGAGATATGGCTTTTTCTTTGCAACTCTGCCTAGAAGGTCAGCATCCCGGAGTCGCCTCTTCACTGTCGACGTTGAGACTGGTGTTTTGCGGGTACTATTTAATGAAGCTGCCAGTTGAGGACCTGTGAGGTGTCTGTTTCTCAAACTAGACACTCAAATGTATTTGTCCTCCTGCTCAGTTGTGCACCGGGGCCTCCCACTCCTCTTTATATTCTGGTTAGAGCCAGGACTGATGGTTGCTGATAATGGGCCTATGTAGATATTCCATAAAAAAGTCAGCCATTTCCAGCTACAATAGCCATTTAAAACATTAACAACTGTATTTCTGATCAATATGATGTTATTCTAATGGACAACAAAATTGCTTTTCTTTCGAAAACAAGGACATTTCTAAGTGACCCCAAACTTTTGAACGGTAGTGTAATTTACTTACCAGGGAGAGGGGACGCAACGAAGAAACAAATGCATTTAAAGATTGAAAACAATGATTCATTAGATGTAGAAGAGATCCATGCAAGGAATAGAACAAAAGTGAGATTATACTGTAATGGAAATTATTATTTAAAATGTTTCAATAAAGCGTGACGCACTGAGCACCAGAATCAAACATTTGCTGATGTTTTTTGATGAAATGCTACATATGCTTGTACATAGAACCCAACCATGCATGCTGTAATGCGATTTCTATGATAAAATGAGACGTTTGCTTTGCATCATGCATGCGGTAATATGAAGCGAAAGGGACACGTGTCCAAGAGTGTGTGACCCAACGCCGGCCTGCTGAGTGCCTCGCATTGTTACATATGAGAGGTGTAATAATGAATGACTGCCACCGCTACATGCATGAGTGTAACTGGATACTCTCCCACTAATGTAGCTATTGATAGCTCTGGTAAAATAACTATTGAGCTGAGGGGATGGCTAATTGATTGGGCCTAACAATAAGGTGTAAGCAGCGCATGACCAGCGACCAGTTGCTGGAGAGTGAGGGTGGAATTATACCTAGTGTGACTGCTGTGGTTGCAGCTCCAGTTCTGAATGAGTGACCAGTGTTGAGTTGAGGTGAAAGATAACACCTTTATATTACTTGAGAAAACAGAGAAGTGAAACAGAATTTGGATGAGGGTTGAAGAGGAGGGATGAGAAGAGAATGATGAGGAGCAGAGCGGGGTTGAGCATGAATAAATATTAGCATTAGACAGGATTGAGTGTAAGTGTGAGCACTTAGGATAGTACCCCAGGAACCCGATATAGGATGCGTAAGAGTGAGGCTGTAATGATTTGGGTGAAAAGACCAGATCAGAAAAATCTAAATCCCATGAAGGAATAAAAGTGATGGAAGGAGTTGTGAACTCACCATTAGAAGGAAACCATGGAAAACCGGTAAGAAGACAGTGTATGTAAACTTCCGACTTCAACTGTGTACAGTGGGGAAAAAAAGTATTTAGTCAGCCACCAATTGTGCAAGTTCTCCCACTTAAAAAGATGAGAGAGGCTTGTAATTTTCATCATAGGTACACGTCAACTATGACAGACAAAATGAGAAAAAAATATCCAGAAAATCACATTGTAGGATTTTTTATGAATTTATTTGCATATTATGGTGGAAAATAAGTATTTGGTCAATAACAAAAGTTTATCAATACTTTGTTATATACCCTTTGTTGGCAATGACACAGGTCAAACGTTTTCTGTCAGACTTCACAAGGTTTTCACACACTGTTGCTGGTATTTTGGCCCATTCCTCCATGCAGATCTCCTCTAGAGCAGTGATGTTTTGGGGCTGTCGCTGGGCAACACGGACTTTCAACTCCCTCCCAAGATTTTCTATGGGGTTGAGATCTGGAGACTGGCTAGGCCACTCCAGGACCTTGAAATGCTTCTTACGAAGCCACTCCTTCGTTGCCCGGGCGGTGTGTTTGGGATCATTGTCATGCTGAAAGACCCAGCCACGTTTCATCTTCAATGCCCTTGCTGATGGAAGGAGGTTTTCACTCAAAATCTCATGATACATGGCCCCATTCAATCTTTCCTTTACATGGATCAGTCGTCCTGGTCCCTTTGCAGAAAAACAGCCCCAAAGCATGATGTTTCCACCCCCATGCTTCACAGTAGGTATGGTGTTCTTTGGATGCAACTCAGCATTCTTTGTCCTCCAAACACGACGAGTTGAGTTTTTACCAAAATGTTCTATTTTGGTTTCATCTGACCATATGACTTTCTCCCAATCCTCTTCTGGATCATCCAAATGCACTCTAGCAAACTTCAGACAGGCCTGGACATGTACTGGCTTAAGCAGGGGGACACATCTGGCACTGCAGGATTTGAGTCCCTGGCGGCGTAGTGTGTTACTGATGGTAGGCTTTGTTACTTTGGTCCCAGCTCTCTGCAGGTCATTCACTAGGTCCCCCCATGTGGTTCTGGGATTTTTGCTCACCGTTCTTGTGATCATTTTGACCCCATGGGTGAGATCTTGCGTGGAGCCCCAGATCGAGGGAGATTATCAGTGGTCTTGTATGTCTTCCATTTCCTAATAATTGCTCCCACAGTTGATTTCTTCAAACCAAGCTGCTTACCTATTGCAGATTCAGTCTTTCCAGCCTGGTGCAGGTCTACAATTTTGTTTCTGGTGTCCTTTGACAGCTCTTTGGTCTTGGCCATAGTGGAGTTTGGAGTGTGACTGTTTGAGGTTGTGGACAGGTGTCTTTTATACTGATAACAAGTTCAAACAGGTGCCATTAATACAGGTAACGAGTGGAGGACAGAGGAGCCTCTTAAAGAAGAAGTTACAGGTCTGTGAGAGCCAGAAATCTTGCTTGTTTGTAGGTGACCAAATACTTATTTTCCACCATAATTTGCAAATAAATTCATAAAAAATCCTACAATGTGATTTTCTGGAAAAAAAATTCTCAATCTGTCTGTCATAGTTGACGTGTAACTATGATGAAAATTACAGGCCACTCTCATCTTTTTAAGTGGGAGAACTTGCACAATTGGTGGCTGACTAAATACTTTTTCCCCCACTGTATATATATATATATATATATATATATATATATATATATACAGTTGAAGTCAGAAGTTTACATACACCTTAGCCAAATACATTTAAACTCAGTTTTCCACAATTCCTAACATTTAATCCTAGTTAATATTCCCTGATGTAGAAGAGATATTAAGAGTTAATATTCCCTTTCTTAGGTCAGTTAGGATCACCACTTTATTTTAAGAATGTGAAATGTCAGAATAATAGTAGAGAGAATGATTTATTTCAGCTTTCATTTCTTTCGTCACATTCCCAGTAGGCCAGAAGTTTACATACACTCAATTAGTATTTGGTAGCATTGCCTTTAAATTGTTTAACTTGGGTCAAACGTTTCGGGTAGCCTTCCACAAGCTTCCCACAATAAGTTGGGTGAATTTTGGACCATTCCTCCTGACAGAGCTGGTGTAACTGAGTCAGGTTTGTAGGCCTCCTTGCTCGCACACGCTTTTTCAGTTACATTTACATTTACGTCATTTAGCAGACGCTCTTATCCAGAGCGACTTACAAATAGGTGCATTCACCTTATAGCCAGTGGGATAACCACTTTACAATGTTTTTTTTGTTTTTTTGCCCACAAATGTTCTATAGCATTGAGGTCAGGGCTTTGTGATGGCCACTCCAATACCTTGACTTTGTTGTCCTTAAGCCATTTTGCCACAACTTTGGAAGTATGCTTGGGGTCATTGTCCATTTTGAGACCCATTTGCGACCAGGCTTTAACTTCCTGACTGATGTCATGAGATGTTGCTTCAATATATCCACATAATTTTCTATTTTGTGAAGTGCACCAGTCCCTCATGCAGCACAGCTCCCCCACAGCATGATGCTGCCACCCCCGTGCTTCACGGTTGGGATGGTGTTCTTCGGCTTGCAAGCGTTCCCCTTTTTCCTCTAAACATAACGATGGTCATTATGCCCAAACAGTTATATATATTTTTTCATCAGACCAGAGGACATTTCTCCAAAAAGTACGATCTTTGTCCCCATGTGCAGTTGCAAACCGTAGCCTGGCTTTTTTATGGCGGTTTTGGAGCAGTGGCTTCTTCCTTGCTGAGCAGCCTTTCAGGTTATGTCGATATAGGACTTGTTTTACTGTGGATATAGATACTTTTGTACCCGTTTCCTCCAGCATCTTCACAAGGTCCTTTGCTGTTGTTCTGGGATTGATTTTCACTTTTCGCACCAAAGTACGTTCATCTCTAGGAGACAGAACGCGTCTCCTTCCTGAGCGGTATGACGGCTGTGTGGTCCCATGGTGTTTATACCTACTGGAATTGTGATACAGTGAATTATAAGTGAAATAATCTGTCTGTAAACATTTGTTGGAAAAATGACTTGTGTCATGCACAAAGTAGATGTCCTAACCGACTTGCCAAAACTATAGTTTGTTAACAACAAATTTGTGGAGTGGTTGAGAAACGAGTTTTAATTACTCCAACCTAAGTGTATGTAAACTTCCGACTTCAACTGTAGCTAGCTAGACTATCTTACCCGTATACTTGGATGGACGCTTCTCCCTCTCTGTCACGGATGCCATGGTTGCCCTTAGCTTGAAGATGTAATCCGGAGACAGGTGTTTTCTCTATCTCCTTAGCTATCATACTCTAATTCATGTCCAGCTCACTCATTATCTCAGCCAATCATGGCTAGCTGTCTTTTTCTGTGGCTAAACCAACTAGGCTCGTATTTACAGATTGCATACAAGTTTGTTATTAAGGCACACGAAAGTTTGAATGTTCCTGAAGGCATTTATTTAAAAAAGGTTTGCGTTCAAATGGCTCACCTGTGAAGTAGTGACGCACGACATACGCCTAGTTTCCTGAAGCGAGTCACATATGTAAAATTGTATTTGTATTCGTGGATTAATTTTGATTGCGGATTTTTCATAATCGAAAACCTCCATGAAGGGCATTGGGTAGAGGTAAATTAATCTAGGAATACGAATAGAATTTGACATATTTTAAATGACCCCATTTTCATAAATTTGATTATAAGATTGGCACACATTCAAAAACAGTCTGTTTTCAATAGGGGAGACTTTCATGGGGTTTGACTGCCAAAAACCCAATGAATCGTTGTACCTGGGTTTCAAAAGGAAGTAGTATGGCAGAGTTTTTAAATCGCTTTCATTTGATTGGTCATTTTCAACCATCACACCCTCACTTCGTGTTTTCTTCATTTGATTGGATTATTATTATTTACCTTTCAATCACTATGCCCTCCCTTCTATTAATAGCAAGCGAAGATGGGAATGATCTCTATAGTGTCTTCACATGAATGTATCCCCAAACAAGGATCTCACCGTTGTACCGCTGACAGAACAACACAAAGGTAGACATGCTGGGAGAGGTTACACGCACTGATCAGAGTAGAAGTTTCCGCTCGTGTGTACTTGCAAAGTACTTTGCCACTGACAGACAGACGGGCCTACCACGCATTCAACCAGATGCAGAGCTAACACCAGGCATAGTAACACAGTTGTTCTCTTGTGATGTGCTTGTTGGTCCAGCACATGAACACACATGCATGTCTCATGTCGTGACTCGTGTAAATTGGTTCCATTCAAATAAACATCACTTCATGTTGAGGTTTGGGGCAAGGTGTTGGAATCTGTATCAGAGGCACAGTTTATTCCATTTCAGAAAATGATGAAGCGCTCTGCATGTTGCCTGTATAAAGTGCAGTTTGCGAGGACTACAGAGACAATAACTGTGGTAGTACCAGTGTCAAGCAGGGCTGCTTTTTAGGCATTGGGCTACTTGGGAGGTGAACATATGAGAAATCAAGGGGCCTAGCATTGGAAATTTGAGAGAGAACTGTTTATTTCTTAAATTATATCAATCAAAAACACCTGATTATTCATCATTGGTTGTGTATATTTTATAAAGTGTATCATACTTTTTATGTTTTGTTATCCAGTTTTTATATGGAACTGCATTGTACTGTGAAACTGCTTGAGGTGTTAAAATCAAACTTGACAACCTGCCTTTTTAGCTTAGCCTATAGATGAAGCCTTTGTTTCATGTTGTTTGATTAATCTATTTTATTGCCATGTTTTATTGCCTTTCATTTTATTGTTTTAAGTGGGCAGCTATTTTAAATGCACTTCAAATAAAGTTTGATATTGGATCTTAAATTGATGACATGAAAGAGTTGAATGAATATAGACTCCAATAACTATAGTATATATCTTATTAAGATGTTTTAAAAAGTGATGAACTCCCAAAGAATTGTGATAGGCCTACTAAATATATGTTTGGAGTAGATTGACTGCTGAGCTGAACTGGGGATAAGAATGAGGACAATCAATGGACAAGGTGTTAAAGGTCCAATGCAGCTGTTTTTATCTAATAATAATAATAATAATAATATGCCATTTAGCAGACGCTTTTATCCAAAGCGACTTACAGTCATGTGTGCATACATTTTTGTGTATGGGTGGTCCCGGGGATCGAACCCACTACCTTGGCGTTACAAGCGCCGTGCTCTACCAGCTGAGCTACAGAGGACCACTATCTCAATATCAAATAATTTCTGGGTAACAATTAAGTACCGTACTGTGATTGTTTTGAATTAGTTAAAATGGTAAAGAAAAAAAAGAAAAAAATCTTAGCAAAGGGCAATTTCTCAAGCATATAAGGCCCTCCCTCGTCCCCCCTTCGGCAAATCAGATCATTACTCTTCTTCTTCTTCAATGAGGTTTAACGGCGGTTGGCTTCCAATTTGTTGCATTACCACCACCTACTAGACTGGAGTACAACTCCCTTATATTTTGATTGAAAAATAAAATAAAGAAATACCCTATCATCTAAAACTACACTCACAAATTCAAAAATATTATTAATAATTAACACCACCCTACTCCCTATTTAAATATATTCATTCCTATCTCATGCCCTCAACCTGAAATGATGGGACATCACCACTTAACACTCCCTGTAACTCTTCTGATGTCAAGTCTCACACACCCAAATACCTCTCTGCAGCTGCCACCACAACCTCAATTTTCTTCGACTTACGTTCCATCCCTGCAGTACAATTAATAACCATTTCTATAAATGCTAAAAATCCAATCTTACTGAAACATATATCACTTGTTGGCTCTGTACTGGTACATATCTACTACTCTCACCACTCCTCCCCCTTGACCCATCTTCTTCTACTGTCTTCACTGCCTCAGCATATGACAACTTCTTCACTACTGTTACCCTGGAAACCTTAACCTGCCTCTCTCGCACGGGACATTTCTGATCCCCAGCCCCATGGGCACCCCTACAATTAGCACATACCACTACTTTCCCCAAAGCTACACATTCCTTTGTCTCATGCCCTTCTGCACACTTCTCACACCTTAGAACCTCCCTCCTACACACTGCTGCCACATGCCCATATGTTTGACACCTGTAACATCGTAATGTATTCGGCACATAAGCTCGTACAGGATAGCTTATATATCCTAACTACACTTTGTCAGGCAAAGACTCAACTTCAAAACTCAAAAGAACAGACAATGACTCTTCTGTTTCCCCACTCTCGCCACCCTGTTTGCGTCGCACCAAATGACGAGCATCACAAACACCGGGAATCTTTCCCTTCAGTTGGTCCACTTTCACATTTACCGCTATCCCAGTAATCACTCCTTTCAATGGCGCCCTTTTCTTGAGAGCAAAACAATTCACAATTCTTTCCCCCATTTGTTTAACTCTGAGCGCCTTCTCCCTCTGACCAACAGAAACATAAACAATTATCACTAGACCACTTCTGGTTACCCTCACCGATTCCACTATAACCAACGCTTTTATCACCTATCCTGAAACCACAAATGGATCAGAAAAAAGGCCAGGGTCCACTTTTTCCAAAAACTATTGTCACAGACTAATCTTTATCCTGATCCTCTGTGCAAGCCTCGGGCTCCGAGTACTTCAACACACCTACCACCTCCGATACTTCACCCTCATTCACTTCCATTTCTCCTCGTGTCTTCAGCTCACTTTGCTTACATTTTCTACCATTCTTCTTTAACAAACCACCTCCCTTTTTCCGCCATTTTTTACTGACTCAAGCTCACAGTCTTCCTCCCTCTCTCTCTTAGACCTCCTCTGCCTCTCTTTTTAACTCCATTCTTCCTCCATCATCCAAGTATACATCTCCTTATGTTAATACTGCACTTCTCCTAACATACATCTGTTTCTTGCTTTCTCAAGGGACGCCATTTACGAGGCTCCCGAAGTCCTCTTATCTGTTTTCTCTATATGCGTCTGTCTGTGCCTGGCTGTAGAAATAACCTACTGATCATGACTCTACTCCTGCTTCCTGTTTACAAACAAAAGCTCAAACAGGAAGTACCCGCGACAAGCTCTGCTGCAGGACTGCTTTGCTAGTGCTGACTGGAATATGTTCCGGGACTCCGCCGATAGCATTGACAAGCTAACCACCTCCGTCACCGGCTTCATCAGGAAATGAATCACCGATGTCGTCCCCACAGTGAAGGTTTGCTGCTTTCCCAATCAAAACCCCTGGAGCCCTTAACACTGAGGTGCGCGCTAAGCTAAAGGACAGAGTTACCGCTCCCAACCCCAAGGCTATGGCTGAGGACACGAACGCGTACAAGAAGTCCCGTTATGACCTCCACAGAGCCATCAAACAGGAAAAAGGACAATATTGGAACAAGGTGGAATCATATTATCCCGTCTCCGACGCTCGACGCATATAGTGGCCAATCCTCAAAAAGGGCTTTAGTTTTTGAGATGCCCCCACCCGAGGTAGAGCAAAACACAACCATGTTTTTTCACATCTCTAATGTCTCCCATTTTATTAAATTGGTGTTGTTTTTTACTGCAGAAATGTTTGAATTGATAGATATTGTGACACACCCCCTAAACTCAAAACGTGCAGAATAATGCCTGGCTGGAGGAAGGATGGGCCACATAAGCTCATGTAACCCAATATTGCAAGCTCTGATATTGCTGAAATTTAGAATACAAGTAGTCCGTTGTCTGCACTACATACACAAACAGCATTAGGATATTGTAATCCATCTTGGAAATATAGATCTGTAAACACAGAGATACAATAGGCAGAAATATCAACTATAACTATTTCAGATGAATGTAAGCTTTACTTTTTGGTAGCTGATTAATAAACAACTTTCCAAGTGAAATTTGCTCTCATTTAGTGCTGTATGGTCCTGCCCGACAAAAATACATAGTTACACATGTTTTTTGATGTTGTAGCTGTTGTAATCTAATCGTCTCTAAGGAAAACAAGTGGTCTTCTTGCAGCATCTTGCAATTACGTTAGGGCATGACCTTCTGCTGGCTCACTTTATTTGTGATGCGCATTGGGATGTTCCAGTGCACATTGGGATGTTACAGTGCACTGCACTCTTATGGTGTTTGGGTTGAGCTGGCACATTTATAAAAAATAATGTTCACCATCCTGGCTGTCTGCCCTGGAGTTTCTGTATATGTTGACTTGGTGGCATTATGGTGTATGGGGTGGATGCAACACCACATGATGACAAGCGCTTAAGGCAAGTGTTCACTACAATAAACCACTACTGCCCCAGAACTACAACCACTACTGGCTACTTTGTCTCCTCACCCTGTTAGGACACACTCATGTCTTGGTCACCTAAAAGATTTTCAATCAACCTTGCACACTTAGTTTTAGTGGGGAAAAGAGGGGAAATGTTAGAGCTGTACATATACACTACTGGAGTAGTTTACTGTTGTATTACAGGTTGTGTTCCTTTAACTTGGTTACGCTACTATGTGCTTGTGTTGTGAAAAACATGAACACACATTGAAAAGCCAGTTGGCTTCAGCTATTCAAACACAACAGAAGCATGGCAGTGCCACTCATAGTCCTAGTTATACCAAGAGCTGTATGAAACCCTTTTAAAGACAGAATAACACAATACAAAATAAACCAGGGCAATGTATATGCTGACGAAGGTGTTTGAGTGGAGATGGTCAAAAACTTCAAGTTCCTCGGTGTCCACATCACTGAGGACTTATCATGGTCCTCTCACAGCAGCACAGTTGTGAAGAAGGCACGGCAGTGCCCCTTCTCCATCAGTAGGCTGAAATGATGTGGCATGGCCCCTCAGATTCTTAGGTACTTTTACAGCTGCACCATTGAAAGAATCCTGATTGGTTTTATCACCATCTGGTATTGCAACTGCTCTGCGCTCGACTGGAAGGCCCTACAGAAGGTATGGCCCAGGTCATCCCTGGGGGTGAGCTCCCTTGCCATCCAGAACGTACATGCCAGGCGGTGTCTGAGAAAGGGCCGAAAAATTGCCATAGACTCCAGCCATCCGAGACATGGACTGTTCTCCATGCTCACGTCGGGCAGGCGGTACCGGTGCACCAAAGCTCAGACCAACAGACTCCTAAGCAGCTTCTATCCCCTGGCCATAAGACTGTTAAATGGCTAACAACTACTGCTCCCCCTACACATACACTCACACTAACACCCACTCACACACATACCACGCACACACCAGTGGTGGAAAAAGTACCCAATTGTCATACTTGAGTAAAAGTAATGATACCTTAATAGAAAATTACTCAAGTAAAAGTGAAGGTCACCGAGTAAAATACTACTTGAGTAAAAGTCTAAAAGTATTGGGTTTTAAATATACTTAAGTATCAAAAGATTTCCTTATATTAAGCAAACCAGACGGCACCAACACTTAGACATAATTTACAAATGAAGCAGTTGTGTTTAGTGAGTCCGCTAGATCAGAGGCAGTAGGGATGACCAGGGATGTTCTGTCCTGCTAAACATTCAAAATGTAACGAGTACTTTTGAGTGTCACGTAAAATGTATGGAGTAAAAAGTAAATTATTTTCTTTAGGAATGTAGTGAAGTAAAAGTAAAAGTTGTCAAAAATATAAATAGTAAAGTAAAATACAGATACAAAAACAATCTACTTACGTAGTACTTTAAAGTATTTTTACTTAAGTACTTTACACCACTACTTTACACCACTGCACACACCCGCCCACCACTTATGCTGCTGCCATACTGTTTACTATTGTTATTATTTATCCTGCTACCAGTCGCTTTCTCCTAATCCCTACCTACATGTACATATCTACCTCAAATACTCCAGTATCCTTGCACATTATATATTTGGTACTGGCACTGACCCGCTCTTATTTCTATTTCTCATGTTTTGTTTTTGTTTTTTAGGGATACTATTTTCATATTGAATACTGCACTGTTGGGTAGGGCTTGCAAGTTAAGCATTTCACTATACACAAACATGATTTTCTAAATGTCACAGTATTATTCCAAGTGTGGAAAAATACACTGATTGTACAAAATATTAGGAACACCTTTCCATGACAGACTAACCAGGTGAATCTAGGTGAAAGCTATGGTCCCTTATTGATGTCACTTGTTAAATCCACTTAAATCAGTGTAGATGAAGGGGAGGAGACAAGTTAAAGAAGGATTTTAAGACTTGAGACAATTGAGACATAAATTGTGTGTGTGCCATTCAGAGGGTGAATGGGCAAGACAAAATATTTAAGCGGGGTATGGTAGTAGGTGCCAGGCGCACCGGTTTGAGTGTGTCAAGAACTGCAACGCTGCTGGGTTTTTCACACTCAACAGTTTCCCGTGTGTATCAAGAATGGTCCACCACCCAATGGACATCCAGCCAACTTGACACAACTGTGGAAAGCATTGGAGTCAACATGGGCCAGCATCTCTGTGGAACGCTTTCGACACCTTTTAGAGTCCATGCCCTGACGAATTGAGGCTGTTTTGAGGGCAAAAGGGGGTGCAACTCAATATTCACGTGTTTGACTGCACTGGGCCTTTAAGAGCTATTAGAATGTGTAAAGATCCATGTCCTTCCAGAGCTGACTGATCAAGACTGGTTAAGCTCTGTTTTTATAACGACTGGTCAATACTAAGCTTCTACTTATCATTAAAGACATTTTGACACACATTTACACACTCGGAAACAGGCCATTTTACACAGTGGTATTCACTGTACAGTAAGTCCCTTTTATAAAAGTATCTGCAAAGTGGCATATATTGTTATCATCCTTGTCACTTTGAGGAGCAAAAATTTAACTGCCTGGTTACAGCTCCTGTATTGTACCTAAATGGGTCTACAGAAGCTCTCTTAGGTCTCCATCCATCTCAATGCCTTTGGCATGGATTTCATGTAAGAGCAGAAATAGCTACAAATGGATCTGGGGCATAAGCTACCACCCCCAGCATGCCAAAGATAACATGCAGGTAGCCTAGCGGTTAAGAGCGTTGGGCCAGTAACCGAAAGGTTGCTGGTTCGACTCCCCGAGCTGGCAAGGTAGAAGAATCTGCCATTCTGCCCTTGAGCAAGTCAGTTAACCCCCAACAATAACTGCTCCCCAGGTGCTGACAACGTTGATTAAGGCAGTCCCCCGCACCTCTGATTAAGAGGGGTTGGGTTAAATGCAGAAGACCATTTTGGTTTAATGCATTCAGATGTGCAACTGACAACCATACTTCATTTTATGGTATTTATAATTCAGAGATACAAAAAGCCTCTGTTAGCCATGACAGACAGTGGTTTACACATACTGTTAAAAGTCTGTCTAGAGATGCTCGCGCACACACACATTACAGGCCTGGCTGTTAATCAGTGTTTCTAAGAGACTATCCTCTCTTTCGCTCTCTCTTAATTTGTGTATTTTTTTCGCTCTCTCTTAATTCGCTCTCTCCTTCCTCTTTCTCTCTCAGTAAAAGGCTGCATAGGGAAATCCCCATTTAAAATCCTCCATGTTGTTGCACACTCCCTGCCATGGATTGGATTAGTGTAAGCATTGGCTGGATGGACTTTCCACCATTGTTAAATCCATGATGGGGAATGTGCAAGTGCACACTTCAGGAGAAGGGTGGAGAATCGAGATGGAGCCCTTGACTCTATACCTGGCGCCGACGAAGATGGCGGCCTCGCGACTAGCTCTTAGGAAACTTTGCAGTATTTTGTTTTTTATGTATTATTATTAGCTCAGAAAGTGTTTTGCATCATTACATACAGCTGGGAAAAGCTATTGGATATAAGAGCGGCGGTAACTCACCAGCATTACGACCAGGAATACGACTTTCCCTAAGCAGATCCTTTGTTTGCTCTCCCCAGGGCAACTGAACTGATTACAGCGGCTGACCCAAAACATCGCCGGCGGAGTCGAGGCACTCGGAGCGGCCTGCTGGTTCAACTTAGGAGGTGCACACACCACCCACCGCTTCCAAGTATTCTACTCGCTAATGTTCAGTCTTTGGTTAACAAGCTCGATGAACTACGGGCAAGGATTTCCTACCAGAGAGACATCAAGGCCTGTAACATCCTCTGTTTCACGGAAACATGGCTCTCTTGGGATATTCTGTCGGAAGAGGTCCAGCCAGATGGGTTCTCAGTTCATCGTGCAGACAGGAATAAATATCTCTCCGGGAAGCAGCAGGGCGGAGGTGTGTGTTTCATGATTAACGACTCATGGTGTAATTGTAGTAACATAGAGGAACTCAAGTCCTTCTGTTCACCTGACCTAGAGTATCTCACAATCAAATGCCGACCGTATTATCTCCCAAGATAATTTTATTTGGTTATAGTCATGGCCGTGTATATCCCCCCTCAAGCCGATATCACGACGGCCCTCAAAGAATTTCACTGGACCCTATGCAAACTGGAAACCACATATCCTGAGGCTGCATTTATTGTAGCCGGGGATTTTAACAAAGCAAATTTGAGGACTAGGCTGCCAAAGTTCTATCAACATATCGACTGTTGTACTCGCGCTGCTAAAATCCTCAACCATTGCTATTCGAACTTCCGGGATGGTTATAAGACCCTCCCCCGCCCTCCTTTCGGCAAATCTGACCACGACTCCATTTTGCTCCTCCCTTCCTATAGGCAGAAACTCAAACAGGAAGCACCCATGCTAAGGACTATTCAACGCTGGTCTGACCAATCGGAATCCACGCTTCAAGATTGTTTTGAGCATGCGGACTGGGATATGTTCCGGGTAGCTTCCGGAAATAATTTAAACGAATACACTGAAACTGTGACTGAGTGACTGAGTTTATCAGGAAGTGTATAGGTGATGTTGTGCCCACTGTGACTATTAAAACCTACCCTAACCAGATACCGTGGATAGATGGCAGCATTCGTGCAAATCTGAAAGCGCAAACCACCGCATTCAACCATGGCAAGGTGACTGGGAATATGGCAGAATACAAACAGTGTAGCTACTCACGCAGCAAGGCAATTAAACTGGCAAAACATCAGTATAGAGACAAAGTGGAGTCGCAATTCAACGGCTCAGACACGAGACGTATGTGGCAGGGTCTACAGACAGTCACGGACTACAAAAGGAAAACCAGCCACGTCGCCGACACCGACGTCTCGCTTCCAGACAAGCTAAACACCTTCTTCGCCCGCTTTGAGGATAACACAGTGCCACTGACGAGGCCCACTACCAAGGACTGTGGCCTCTCCTTCTCCATGGCCGACGTGATTAAGACATTTAAGCATGTTAGCCCCCAGACGGCATCCCTAGCCGCATCCTCAGAGCATGCGCAGACCAGCTGGCTGGTGTGTTTACGGACATATTCAATCTCTCCCTTTCCCAGTCTGCTCTTCCCACATGCTTCAAGATGGCCACCATTGTTCCTGTACCCAAGAAAGCAAAGGTAACTGAACTAAATGACTATCGCCCTGTAGTACTCACCTCTGTCATCATGAAGTGCTTTGAGAGACTAGTCAAGGATCATATCACCTCTACCTTACCTGTCACCCTAGACCCACTCCAATTTGCATGATGCACAAATGATGCAATCGCCATCACACTGCACACTGCCCTATCCCATCTGGACAAGAGGAATACCTATGTAAGAATGCTGTTCATTGACTATAGCTCAGCATTCAAGACCATAGTACCCTCCAAGCTCATCATTAAGCTTGAGGCCCTGGGTCTGAACCCCGCCCTGTGAAACTGGGTCCTGGACTTCCTGATGGGATGCCCCCAGGTGTTGAAGGTAGGAAACAACATCTCCACTTCGCTGATCCTCAACACTGGGGCCCCACAAGGGTGCGTGCTCAGCCCCCTCCTGTACTCCCTGTTCACCCATGACTGCGTGGCCAAGCACGCCTCCAACTCAATCATCAAGTTTGCAGACGACACAACAGTCGTAGGCTTGATTACCAACAATGAAGAGACCGCCTACAGGGAGGAGGTGAGGGCTCTGGGAGTGTGGAAAATAACATCTCACTCAACATTAACAAAACAAAGGAGATGATCGTGGACTTCAGGAAACAGCAGAGGGTGCACCCCTCTATCCTCACCAACGGGACCGCAGTGGAGAAAGTGGAAAGCTTCAAGTTCCTTGGCGTACCCATCACCGACAAACTGAAATGGTCCACCCACGCAGACAGTGTGGTGAAGAAGCAGCTGTACACTCACTACTTTACATTGTAGCGAAGTGTCATTTCTTCAGTGTTGTCACATGAAAATATATACTCAAATATTTACAAAAATGTGAGGGGTGTACTCACTTTTGTGAGATACTGTATGTATATACTGCATTCTATTCTATAACATTCTACTGTATCTTAGTCCATGCCGCTCTGTCATTGCTTGTCCATATATGTATATATTCTTAAATCCCATTCCTTACTAGTTTTGTGTGTATTGGGTATATGTTGTGAAATTGTTAGATATTACTTGTTAGATATTACTGCACTGTCGGAGCTAGAAGCACAAACATTTCGCCACACCCGCTATAACATCTGCTAAACATGTGTATGTGACAAATACAATTTGATTTGATTTAACTATGTTTCAGTTGGCTCACATTGACGAAGGGAAATGAATGAGGGCGGATGGAAGGGAAGAGGGAACATCTTCCTACAATGAAACGCAACCCATGGGCAGATCTCAATTCTATTTCATTGATTCCTTGTGTCCTCTCTCTCCCAGGAGAAGAACATTGGATCTTCTCCTCCAATATGTTTTGAGAAGGAGGCGAGGATCAAGGAAAGACAATTGGGTTTCACCCAGTGCCTCCTTCCGTGTATCATCTTTATGATAGGAGGATCACATTGCCATCTGGTGGTGTAGTTTGGGTCGTACACACAGCTGACCTTTAAGTCTTGGCTTTGCAGCAGAATCATATATCCATAAAAACCTCCAACATTTCATAAGGAATAGGATACTACATATAAATAACACAATATACACAATAGAACATTTTACCCTTATTGTGTTATGTTTCTCTTTTATTTCATAGTTTTTTTATACTCTACTGTGTTGCGGTTTTTAAATGCACTGTAAAGTTTGATTTGATTTGAGTTGATTTGGACCACACATTGCACACAATGCCTTGCCTGCCCATTGATTTCTTTATGCTTCTCTCTCTCTCTCTCTCTCTAGAATCATGAGTTTATTAACGAGCAGACGGTTGAGACCAACAGTATAGATATAACCATGGTGAACACGTCTGGTTCTTACACCTCGTCCCTGTCGTCGTTTCCCCACGGCCTGTCATCCTGTTGCTCCAGACGACACAGGAAGAAGAGCTTCAGTCCGCCCAACTCTAACAACCAGGAGCGATCCACCATCCAGATCAGAGAGAGGCCTGTGGCCAACAGGTAGTCTCACATACAGATACACGTACATACGCACACACGCAGGCATGCATGCATGTGTGCACATGTATGAATGCTCACATGCATACACAAACACACTCACACAGCAAATGGACACACAAACACACAATCATAAACACTCAAATGCACGAACACACACACTTGCATGCACGCGCCCACACACACACACACCTCACCGTCTTCCTCTCTCTACTCTCCCCTACAGTCGCTGCAGCCTGAACGCCAAACTAGACTCTGAGATGGTGCCGTTGAAAAGCGGCCATCCTCACATTATAGCGTCCGTGGTCAACCTTCCCCCAGCCCCGCCAGAGACATCATCAGACGGCGACGGTTCCACCAGCTCCACCGTGAAATTCTCAGAGAGCAACATTGTCAGAGTGTCTGCCTTGTAGATGTCAGTCAGTCCAGGCACCACCGGTCTGTTTGGTTGACTTTTTTGCTAACTGTTTGGCTGTTTGGATAACTGGTCTCAAGGAGAAGCAGCAGCAGCTGGAGAGAGAGACCCCTGATTGACTGACTGACTGATGGACCTGCCTGAATCTACAGGGATTATCATCTGATTATCAAAGGTCTGACTAGCTATGTTGCCTGATAGACTGGACTACTCTACATGGGATTAAACTGCTGTGATAGGCTGATACATAGGAGCAAAGAGACTTGATTGAGCTAAAACCCTTTTGCTCTTTGGGGACCGTTGCCAGGTCATCCACCTATTGGGGATCCTGAAATCCTGTTCCTTTCTTCAAGCACAGGAGGCTAAAGCAATGAATTATTAGATTGCTCGATCGTTGTTGCCTGAAAAAAATAACTAAAATGGAAAATATTTTTTAGGACTATTAAGTGTGGATATGTCATCTGTTTTATGACTCCAGGTGGAATGAGAGGGGAGGACTGTGTTTGGAGTTGTAAGCCAATTCCCTGTCTTTTGTTGAAGAAGGGAAACTCAAGACAAAGCACACATGCATTCAAGTACTGACATGTTTCTCAATCATTCTTGTGAATATCAATCCTCAGATCTGTCTATTATTACGCACAAGTTTATGGACCTTGCCCTCCGCTCATATCAAACATACACAGCCGATCTTCCCCCTTACTCCTGTAAAATAATTCAGCTGATATGTAATTTAAGCAGCATCCGTTAAAGGCCCAGTGCAGCCAAAAACATGATTTTCCTGTGTTTTATATATATATATGTACACTATGAGGTTGGAATAATACTGTGAAATTGTGAAAATTATGATAATGCATGTTAGTGTAAGAGCTGTTTGAAAAGACCCCCTGAAGAAAAGACCGCCAGAAATTGAAGCCTGTTTTAGAGGGATGGAGTTTTGGCCTGCCTGGTGACATTACCAGGCGGTAAATTAGTTAATAGACCAATAAGAAAGAGTTCCAAATCTCTCTGCCAATAACAGCTAATTTTCAGTTTTCCCCTCCCCACTCAGACCACTCCCAGACAGTCCTAGCTAAATTCTTGCTTGAGAAATTACTCTTGCTAAGAAGCTTTTTTTTGTTGGTTTCTTTTTGACAATTTTGTTTAAAAACAATCACAGTAAGGTACTTAATTGTTACCCAGAAATTATTTGATATTGAGATAAAAACTGCTGCATTGGGCCTTTAAAGAAGAATAGCAACTTAGCCACTGTGAATATCCATAATCTATTGGTTATCGTATTTGCTCTATGAGTATAGATATTTTCCCCCCTACTGAAACTGTTTGTGAAATGTTCAAAGTGAAATTCTGCGATTCGAAATTCTGATGTTCTCAATCGATTTATAGCTTAACAATAAGTACATTTATTTATATATTTCACCTTTATTTAACCAGGTAAGCCAGTTGAGAACAAGTTCTCATTTACAACTGCGACCTGGCCAAGATAAAGCAAAGCAGTGCGATAAAAACAACAAACACATAGTTACATATGGGGTAAACAAAACGTACAGTCAATAACTCAATAGAAAATCTATATACAGTGTGTGCAAATGTAGTAAGTTATGGAGGTAAGGCAATAAATAGGCCATAGTGCAAAATAATTACAATTTAGTATTAACACTGGAGTGATAGATGTGCAGAAGATGTGCAAATAGAGATACTGTGGTGCAAATGAGCAAAATAAATAATGTAAATAACAATATGGGGATGAGGTAGTTGGGTGGGCTAATTACAGAATGGCTGTGTACAGGTGCAGTGATCGGTAAGCTGCTCTGACAACTGATGCTTAAAGATAGTGAGGGAGAGAAGAGTCTCCAGCTTCAGAGATTTTTGCAGTTCGTTCCAGTCATTTGCAGCAGAGAACTGGAAGGAATGGCGGCCAAAGGAGGTGTTGGCTTTGGGGATGACCAGTGAGATATACCTGCTGGAACACATACTACGGGTGGGTGTTGCTATGGTGACCAATGAGCTAAGATAAGGCAGGGATTTGCCTAGCAGTGATTTATAGATGACCTGGAGCCAGTGGGTTTGGCGACGAATATGTAGTGAGGGCCAGCCAACGAGAGCGTACGGGTCACAATGGTGGGCAGCATGGCACTGTGATAGACTACATCCAATTTGCTGATTAGAGTGTTGGAAGCTATTTTGTAAATGACATCGCCGAAGTCAAGGATCGGTAGGATAGTCAGTTTTACGAGGGCATGTTTAGCAGCATGAGTGAAGGAGGCTTTGTTGCGAAATAGGAAGCCGATTCTAGATTTAACTTTGGATTGGAGATGCTTAATGTGAGTCTGGAAGGAGAGTTTACGGTCTAACCAGACACCTAGGTATTTGTAGTTGTCCACATATTCTAAGTCAGACCCGCCGAGAGTAGTGATTCTAGTCGGGCGGGCGGGTGCAAGCAGCGTTCGATTGAAGAGCATGCATTTAGTTTTACTAGCGTTTAAGAGCAGTTGGAGGCCACGGAAGGAGTGTTGTATGGCATTGAAGCTCGTTTGGAGGTTTGTTAACACAGTGTCCAATTAAGGGCCAGATGTATACAAAATGGTGTCATCTGCGTGGAGGTGTATCTGAGAGTCACCAGCAGAAAGCAAGAGCGACATCATTGATATACACAGAGAATAGAGTCGGCCCGAGAATTGAACCCTGTGGCACTCCCATAGAGACTGCCAGAGGTCCAGACAACAGGCCCTCCGATTTGACACATTGAACTCTATCTGAGAAGTAGTTGGTGAACCAGGCGAGGCAGTCATTTGAGAAACCAAGGATTTTTAGTCTGCCAATAAGAATGCGGTGATTGACAGAGTCAAAAGCCTTGGCCAGTTATTATATCGTTTAGGACCTGCCTGACTTACTGATAGAAACATGATTTAAGATTGATGTAGCATCAATTTCTCAACTGACGTTCATTGAAGTTACTGTATACAAAGTAGATGTTAGCTACTAGGTAGAAATAAGTTTGTATAGTATAAAGAAGTTATTACAAATAGGAAGGCACTGCCACTATTAGAAGCCATGTAGATCTGTCAATCTAAACCTGGAGAGAAATCTCTGTCCTAACTTCCTATGTCTGAAGAGCTAGACATAAGTATTAAAGAGGAAGTACAGGATTTTACAACATGCTCACATGCCCCTATCACTTCCATTGATTGTGGTGGCTAAAGTTAACTGAAGTTTGCAGTGGCTGTTTAATGAAAACCAAACCACGGATTACAGTTGCCCATAGACTACAAGAGTGATGAACCATCTATCAGTTGTAAAATCCTGAACTTCCCCTTTTTTTTCGAATACTTGTCAAAAGAGGCCAATGGGTTAAGAAACAGAAGCCATAAAGTCTTCTTTTTTTTTTTACATTCTTCAAAGCATGACCTTGGTAGACTTAATTCACTGTGTTAAAATAGTACATGTTGTACATTGTTAGACATTTTGTAAATATATTATTATTATTATTATTATCTTCATAAAACACCCTTATACCATAACTCCTCTGATTTCTAGGTTTAGTTAAGACAGTTGTAACACATAATATAGTAGTTCTGTTCATAACTGGTGGAGTTTTGCATTTTGCATGCTCTCATTGCAGAATTCTGTTTTATTCAATTAGAATGTGTGTAAGACTCATGAGGTTTGTGAGTGACAACATGAGAGACTGATGGGGGAGATAAATACATATAAAATGGTACATGATATGAAGATGTAAATTGAAGAGGACACTGAGAATTTAATGAATTACAGATGTATTCTATTATGGACAGAATATATAGATTGATAAGGAGAAGGTGATGCAATGAAAAATCACAAATTGAATTGTGCATTTTGGTGCAGTGGATATTATAAATAAATAAATAGTTATATTAAAACACTCGATAAGACCAACCCAAGTCTCTTAACCTTTATTTATTTCTTACAGCTGATGTTTATAATAATGGTGGTGGTACTGGTTTCATTGCAGTTCAGAGAATCCGCACTCCAAAAAAGAGTGTTCACAAGTTTTCTTATGCTTATGTGTTCATTTTAGACACAACAAGTGAAACGCAAACTCTCTCTCTCTCGTTGGATTGGTTTCATAACTTTAGCCCTTGGCGCCCTGCTGTGAAGTTCTTGACATAGGGAATAGGGTGCCATTTGGGATATAGCCTATCTAGTGCAGTACTTTTGACCAGGGCCCATAGGGTACCATTTGAGACTTGGCCCAGTGATGCCCACTCTGTACACGGTAATAATGAGGTCTCCTAGCCTGTGTCTCCAGGGGGGCTGGAGGGCATGTGAGGGCCTGACAGACCCAGTGGTTGGTCCAGGGTGGAGGGCCTACAGAGACAGGCTTTGATTAACACAGGCACACACACACAAGTCATTAAGAGACGGGCTCTGTCATACCTGTAGCTCAACTGATCCGTATAACTACACTAGAGAGACTGAACCATAGCAGTAGAAAGCCTGTTTATTTTGGTCCATATTTTGGTCTGGGTCCCACAGCACAGCAGGTAACACCTCAGGGTTCATTAACTGCTGAAAACATGTGACGGCTGTTAACCCACCTGAGAGGCAGCCAGCCAGCACAGTACCCAAACAAGGACACATTTTATATTACCTGAGAGCCTGGTCCCCCTCTTGATTTGACACATACTGAGAGGCACAGCCAAGACTAATGAAGGCATATACACTTTATTGATCTGGCAAAGGGTCAGGATTTCTTGATGTGTAAGGATGCCAACAACACTAAGAGTACGATAAGATCTTTAGGTACTAAGGTCCATATTCTTGTGTAACCCTCTCACCAAAGACTCAGACAGATTGGCATGGGAATAGTGGTGAAAAGGACATCTCAGTAAATTAACTTCTATGATATTGACTCGCTAGGGGAAAATGCAAGAAGCTAGGGATATTACTAATAGATATTTAAAGCTTAGACTACTGTTTCCAGAATGTTCTCCCATGTAATAAGAATGAATGATCAGTTACACAACACAATATATGGAAATAAAAATATAACCCCCAGGTACTCTTAAACAGTCTTGCAAGCTAACATTGGCGCGTGTTGGAGCTCAATGACGATAGAATGAGCACGCACCCTTGAGGGGCAACCGTGTTGAGCATCAGCATGGCAGATGTGTTGTTGCCTACCCTTACCACCTGGGGGCGGCCCGTCAGGAAGTCTAGGATCCAGTTGCAGAGGTGTTTAGTCCCAGGGTCCTTAGCTTAGTGATGAGCTTTGTGGGCACTATGGTGTTGAACACTGAGCTATAGTCAATTAACAGCATTCTCACATACTGTAGGTGTTCCTTTTGTGCAGGTGGGAAAGGGCAATGTGGAGTGCAATTGAGATTGCGTAATCTGTGGATCTGTTGGGGCGGTATGCGAATTGGAGTGGATCTAGGGTTTCCGGGATGATGGTGTTGATGTGAGCCATGACCAGCCTTTCAAAGCACTTCATGGGTACAGACGTGAGTGCTACGGGGCGGTAGTCATTTAGGCAGGT